GGGCCTGAACGTTCATATGGCTGCAGTACGATACTTTCCTTCCCGATCCGTCAACCACTCACGCGTCGTGCTTCTTTCGAGCCGCCTCCCACTCGCCGACGTGTCTTTCTCGCTCTTCAGCTTTCACTACTAGTGCTAGGTGTTTGGTCTCTCCCTCTCGCTTCCATGGCTCGTGTCTCTTCGTGTGTCTTAGCACTGGGCAGCGTCGCCCTGACCGCTATCGAGTTTCTCTGCAGTTCTCTCATCTCGCAGTCCCGACTCCGGTACATACATTTGTGCGACGACACCGTCGCGTGTGCAACACTATCCGAGGAGCAAGTCGAGCAGAACGTGGCGAGTCGAGTCGCGTTTCGATATCGGTAAGTGTTCCTCTAGTTTCGACGGCCTAACTACTCGTTACAGACCACCACCGTCGTCCTTCACCGAGCCCTACGTCCATCTCGACCAGTCGACATCCCGGCATCAGGACGAGCGCGCGTGTTTTGTTGGTGCTTGTCCTCGCCACGCACGCGTTCTTTCCGACAGCAGGGACACGCGAATGCATATCAACTGAAGCAGGACATCATCCCTCACGACGAGACGCCAGCCTGAGCCGCGTCGCGACTCGGTGACGGGGAATCACCGCCCTCAAGCCCAATACTGCGAGCCTACGTCCCCAGCAACCCTCGAGCCTGGCGACTACCAGTCTTCTCCCCTCATCAACCTCCGCCCTCAGCAAACCTCGACCCCTCTGTCCGCCCTCCATCATATGCGGCTCACACCGTTCGCGCTGTCCCGCCGTCAAGCATGGTCACCCCGTATGTGTCCACTATCACGCCGTCGAAGGCCTACCTCGCCCATCCGCTCAACGCATACGCGCACCCCAGCATGCTGACGCCATTCGTGCACTTGATCGGGCCACCTCCCGACGTCGCGCTCGATTCCCGTACCTCAGGCAACCTCGGCTCCTCGTTCGTAGTAGGTGCCGCACAAACGCCATCCTCCGACACCGCTCTTCTGTTCCCCGTCCCCATGCTCGCCGTCCTCTCCCTCGACGACCTCTCGCCCTAACGCTGCAGCCATGGCGTCCGCAGTTGCTCGCCTCCGCCGCACGCAAGCACTCCCTCGCATCCTCCTTCGCCGCGTCCTCGTCCAGCCGTGCCATGACATACCTCCCCACTGCCGCCATGCCGTGATGTCCGCCCTTTCTAGCGGCGACCCGCCGACTACAACATCCGCCGACCGCAACATTCGTCAAGCCGCTGGGACAGACACCCTGGTGTCATTCCCTTATAGAAGGCGAAGGCGAAAGAGCCGTCGACAAACCCGCTCTCCCCCGACGCGGCGTCGCCGCAAGTAGCAGCGCGCCCGCGGCCCGCTCCGAAAGCCGAGCGGCGCAAGCCCACCATCAACCGACCGAAGCTCTCGTGCGTAGCCCCGGAGCGCTCCACTCATGACCTGCACGCTGAGAGACCGACGGCGGGCGGTGCGTCTGAGACACCCGGCGCTGTGCAGCGGCTCCGTGTACTGCTCAAGCGACCCGCACTCCGGTTCATACGGATAGGCGTGCGGAACAAGGGCTGCGCAGGGCTCTCGTACCAGCTCGAGTACGTCGACAAGCCGGGCAAGTTCGACGAGGTCGTTGAGCAGGACGGCGTGAAGGTCCCCATCGACAGCAAAGCACTCTTCTCCATCATCGGCAGCGCGCACTGAGGTGCCTCATCCCCCCGCGTTTCCTCTTGTGATCGTGCTCATCTCGCTCGGTATGTGCAGCGCGAAGCTCGCGTTCAAGAACCCGAGCATCAAGGACGCGTGCGGGTGCGGAGAGTCGTTCAGCGTCGGTTCGTGAGCCAAGTGCACCGAGCCTCAAGTGTACGCTTATCACGTTCTCTATATCACCCCGGATGATGCCTGTGCGCACGAGCTAAGATCCCTGCTTCACCACATCTGTATCCATATATTCCTACCCGGTGATATACTAGACAGTATTCGGACCGTAAGCTTCACCGTCTCAGGCTCATGATGCACGATATTGTAGGTTTGCATGCAAGTAGTAGTCTGTCACGGACGACGCTCCGTTAGTACCTACGCTCCGCTGTGTAACCACAATGCCTGCATGTTTTGCGTCGAGGCACCAGGAGGTCATGACGACATTCTCGCTCGACCGTCAGCGTTCGTCGACGTCATCTGGAGGTCGAAGACTTCGGTGAACTCATTTGCGCTCCCTGTGTTTTCGTCTCTGTGGCTCACGCGCTCAATCTTAAGCAATTAAGTACGGTCCCAGTAGCGACACAAGCTGGATATATAGATCAATTGAAAGTCTGTCTCGAGCACACAACCATACCATCGTCTGTCCAACACAATTCCAAGAGATGATCATGCATGATACCAGCATGAGTGAGCGCGAGCTCTTTCTCCGACAACAACATATTGATCCGTGTTGCGGCCGCGGGGCCATTCTATACGTTGAGATCGCACAACGAATTAGCAGAGCGGCCTCATGAGGATGGTTCCATACTCACGAATTACATGCAACATTACGAGCCAGGGGTTGCAAGGACGTCAGTCCGTGCTGCCTCGAGGACCCTCGGCCTGCGGTTGCACCTCTTCTCCGGCGGTGTTCGTCTGTTCAGCTTGCTTACTCTGATCATGTATCTGATCCGTGTCCTCCGTCCAGCTGTCGTATTCTAGGAAGTTATGCATAGTGCTTCAATGGACACTCAGCTTTCCTTCGCGATCTATCCAACTCCAGAGTACTACATACCTCAATATACCTCGTCCATGCGAGCGTGGCATATTCCGCCTGACGAGCTCGTCCAACCGATCGTACCGTTCTCGCAGTGCTGAACCCATCCCAATAAGCTCATTGCCAGACGTCCAAAGGTTTCCATCATCGTCAACACCTATACAGAAGCCGCGCGACACAATAGTACCGGAGAAGCGCTTCTCCTGCAGTGTACTGTCCAATCGCGCCAGGACATCATCCTGCTCCATTGTCGTCAGCAGTCCGTCCAGGTCTTCGGCCTTGTGGTCTGTCCGAAGCAATAGAACAACAACCATAGCTTGGAAGTGTTTCGAGACGATGTTAGACAGAATATGCGGAATCCAGGGCCATGCTGCGAAGGGGTGGTACAGCCAGATCTCCAACTTCCACAGCTGGTCGTGGTGTGAAAGGTTGTATTTTCGCTCTGTAAGCATGAAACAATCAGCAAAGCGGCTCCAGAGAGAACAAAGAAAACTTTCCGACTGTGGCATCAATTGCACCATCACGAACAGGAGAACTGTGATCGATATGGAGCACAACCGTTTCTGCAGATGTGGAACTCGCATCCAGCAAAGTCTGGGTTCTGCTGACTGCCGAGGATGGTTCCAACTCGCCGTCCACTCCAAGATCGACAAAGCGCACTTGAGAAGCCCGGCTGATCTGCACGAAGAGGTCTTCGACTGCTGGTGCAGCCCATCGCACTTGGAGATGCTCCAGATTTGCACAGTTCAGTGGAAGGGAGGCCGGGGAGACGTGCTGTTTCTGCAAGCAGTCAACATTGAAGCACCATAATTTCCTAAGCCACGGGAGTGCTGAAACGAGGCGGGACAGCTGGGCGGCGCTCGACAAGGTGACATTGTAGATGTCTAGAGCGTCGATGTAGCTGAACACCCCTAGGAAGCCGATGTCCTCCATTCGGACCGAGCCCATGGTCCACTCAGCATTTTCAATGGTGATCCGCGACAACCTCGGGGCCTTGCCCGCGAGCATAACAGCAAACATACCCAGGTGCCGGATCGGTTGACGCTCCCCGGGAGAAGCACTCGAAATAACGACTTGTTGAATGACCTCACGGAGGCGAGGTTTTGCGCGGAGTGTCTTGGAGAGCGAGAGGACGTCCTTCCGGTCTCGTAGATAGATGCATTGACGCAGATGGTACCACGTCAGGGAGTACCAGTCTTGGCATACGAGCGCGCAGGATGTGAGAGTGATCAGATGTGGCTCGCCCTTTGTACGGATATAACCCGTATTGCATCCCGCAGCTATGTAGTCGATGATCCGTTCACAGACCTCCACAGGAAGCCGCGGGATCGAAGGACCACGAGAGGAGTCCTCGGACGTTGACGCAGCTGTCCTGTAATCCACATGTGTAAACTATGGTACCCGCGTCTGTTCAGTGACACTTACATTGACTCGGTTTTGTCCATTGCGCTGACGTGGGATGTGCGCGATGGCGATGTGATCGCGCTGTCACACCGACGGAGGTCTCCTGCAGGTCTGTGGCGACAACTACGCAGACCCTTGACAATGGAAACACGTAACTAACAGCAGCGTCTCAGATCGCGGCTCTCCAAGTACACTAGCATAGTATGATAACACACCACCTGATATCCGGTATGTATACTGGCCCCCAGACAAGCCAATATGCGCCGTCTTGGTCGTCGGTTCGCGCGGTGCTGGCGCCCGTTGGTGGTCGCGACGCTAAAAGGAAAGCACGGTGTCAGTAAAGAGATTCGTTGGCGAGAGCGGAGTCGTACCTCGTGAGAACTCTCACAGCAATACTCTTGGTCTGCGCTGCAAGAACTCAGCTTGAAGCTGGACGAGGGGGAGAGCGCGGGGACAGCGTTGAAGGCAATGATGTGGTATATATCATAAATGCATCGATACAACGTAGCGCGCGCTCGCCGGCGTAAAGCGTGCCTCCTTCATCATTCTGGGTACGCGTCTGACCGGCCGAGATCCAGTACTATGTACCATAACTTGAATCAGAATAGACTATCGGCTCTTATGGTCTGCACCGCGCTCAGTTCTACTCGACGTCGAGACCTGTCGATACGTACCCCTACGCGCTCACGGCGGCTCGACGCAGGCTGAGGCCTCCGACTCAACATGTCAGATGTCAGATCGAAAGCCGGCGTCGATGCCAGTGCGTTGCAGCCGCCCGTCGAGTTTCTCAATGCAATACAGTCACTAGTACTCGTCACCGCCCTCGATGGGTTCGTCCCCGAGCCGTATTTTGCGCGAATAAGACATGCTGCGCAGGTGCGTAGCTAGATCAGTGGAATGCGATGTGAGAGGATACCTGGATCACGCTGGGAGTGTCATGCCAGGCCATATGCCTCTCAGTGAGGTATGCAGCCCTTGTGTCGTGTACAAACATGATCCGCTGACATGCGAAAGGTGCTTGCTGCCTCTGCTCATTACCTCTGCACTAGTGTGCATAAGCTAGAGACAGAAATTGAACTTGAGACGAAGGCTCGCCGTCGAAGACTACTTGCCCCAAACCATCCCGGACCTGACCATCGAAGTTCGCGAGTCATAGTCACCGTCTCGGCAACATGCTTCGCGACCTTGCGCTCCTGCGCGCATCAGACTGTGCCCTCTGCTCTGCTCTTTGAATAGAGTACCTTCGAAGGCATCCTCTCTTGCTGATGGACAGGCCGTGCGCACACTGTTACATACCCTCGACTCGCACCGTGACTGATATGGCGGCCCGTTTGTTTCAATATTCAGGGCGCACGAAATATTGTAGTACTCACGAAAAGTGTATCTTACTCACGAAAAGTATATAATATGCATGTTCACGAAAAGTATGGAAACACTCACGAAAATGACGGATGAGCATGAAACCTATACGAAATGAACACTGACGAAAGTCGGCCTCGCACGAAATGCGCGCGCCCGTAACGCGAGTGTGATTCAGTCACCCCTTGTCACGGAGTGTGACGCGTGAGCGCGCGGCCTTAGCACACCTCCAGCTCTCAGCGTCGAAGATTAAGAGATGGAACTTTGTATATATGTTCATTGGATGTAATACACGCATTCCGTGCACAAAGATATTGTCGGGAAGTCGTGCTTCCACCAGGAGTTGAGTAACATCGCTGCAGTCGCGCGCCACCGCGCGCCACCGCGCGGGCGCTTGTGGCCGCACCTACGCGCCCGCGCCTCGGTACTGCCGCCACATCTGCAAAATGTGTGCTCCCTACAGAGCACTACAGAGGGCCCATAGGGCACGGGAGGGCGGGAGGTAAGGTACCTTCTATGTAGCATTGGGTAGCAGGGCAATCTCTACCGAGCAGCTGTAGGGTAGGGCTGGTAGGCACGGTAGCCACATGGCTTAGCGCTCACATCGCCGATCGGGGTCCCTGCCCTGCTGTTACACCAATTGCTCGTAAAAACTTTTGTATTCACTGCACAGATTGTAATGGGACAAGATATATTATAATGAAGTAACCAAAACTTCAATACTCTATTAGTAAGTCAACGAGGTAAGTGAGTAGGCGTGGTGTGCGCAACACCGCGACGACGACGATTGGAGCAGCTGACGATCAGTGCGCGCGGTGCTACGGCCTAATGACACGACAAACGGAACATGGCGGGATGGTGGAGCGAGAGTGGCGTGGACGGGCAGGGTGGCGGGGTGGCGAGTACTCGGTGGCAGAGGCGAGGACTCGGAGCAAGGCGACGGGCGAGCGGGGTAGGATGCCGCCGGCCGCAGCGAAGTGGGCAGTGCGAGGTGGCACGGACGACGGCGGGCAGACACAGGCAGGGTGACAGACGCAGTAGGGGTTGAAAGCGGGTCACGGCGGGTCCGCGCAGTCCATGGGCAAGTAAGTGGGTCCGTCGGCGAATGGGCGCGCGGACGAGTGAGCGATCGTGTGGGCGATCGCGTGGACAAGTGGGTGGCCAACCAGCTGAGCAGAGCAGAGCGGAGCGCAAGTGCATGGGCAAGAAGGTGCAGACAAGGGTGCAGGCGAGGGTGCAGGCGAGAGGGTGTGGGCGAGAGGGCACGAGCAAGAGGGACAGCGAGCGGGCGTGCAAGACGGCACGCGGGCGAGACCACGGGCGAGACGACAGGCAACTTGAAGACGACAGGGACGGCGGGCAGATAACAGGAGTGTGAGATGAGGAGCCTGAGTGAGCGAGATGGTGGGCGAGAGGGACGACGGGCGGGACTGCGAGATGGCAGGTGGGCGAGAGGGACGACGGGCGGGACTGCGAGATGGCGGGTGGGCGAGATGGCAGGCGGGCAAGATGACGGACCTGCAAAATGACGGACCTATGAAACAGTGGGCCTGTGAGACAGCGGGACGTGCGATGGGGATAGCATGATGGCGGGCAAGCAAGACGGCGGGCGAGAAGAACGGTGGCTGAGCAAGACAGCAAGCAAACGCGTGGTGAAGGAGGCGGGCGGGTGAGCTAGCACGAGGTCGAGGGCGTGGAAGGAAAGTAGCGTCGCGGTGGAGAAACAGGTAGGGAAAAATGGGCGGGCGCGAGAGGGCGAGCCGGTGGGCAAGAACGGGCAGGCGCGAGAGGGCGGGCAGGCGAGAGAGGGCGGGTCAAGAGAGCGGCGGGCGCGAGAGACAAGGGCGAGGACGCGGGCTGGCGGTCGAGCTAGTAAGAAAGCAGGCGCAGGCGTGCAATATAACGCAGGTGGGCATGCAGGAATGGGTAGGCAGGGCGAGGGTGAGAGGGGCAGTGACTAGCGGCGACTTGGAGGCTGGGGATGCGGATGAGCAGGCGGGCGAGGGCATGGGCAGACGCAGGCACAAGGGCGTCGTCAGCAGATAGGCAAGGGCAAGCAAGAAAACTGACCTTAGTAGTGATCGTCGATATGCCAGGCAGCGTCGGCGACGTCGCGCACGCAAGTAAGTACTTGCCACAGGCCACGGCAAGAAATCAATAGCGTACATACCTTTGACTTCGAGTGTCGCTGCTCACTGCCCTGGCTTTCTCGACGCCCCTCCCCATCTGCCTTCGCCCCCTCAGCCGTGGGTCACACTCGCTGTGAGTCCGAATCGGCGCTGGACTGACACGCGCATCTTGCATCGTGCAAGTCCTGTACTATTGCATGGTTGGCCCGCAAGTTGCGAGACGAGACCTCTCATGTCGACGTAGGTGCGGCAGCTAGAGTTCGACTTGGAGGATGAGACCGAAACTCAACGATGAGTCGATGAAGCCACGCTATCCGGGAGTCGAGCGCTAACGCGAGCCGCGCGAGTGACCATGCCGCACACAAGCCGTGCGCTTCCCAGGCACATCCGACTGCCGCAGACTACACGTACCTATAGTAGGATGCCCGGGCTACAGAGAACTACGTAGCCCTAGACAGCTACAGAGAGGTATGTAGAAACAGGCCTACTACAGCAAGAAAACTCACTTTGCAGATGCACACTGCAAGTCCAACTCGGAGACTCTGGGTCCAGACTAGAATTCTACGCCTCAAGGTCTCAAGGTATGTCGTTTGCACCTGCACATACATGTATCTGATTAATGATAGAACTATATGCGTTATGCAGTGTCTTGTGGCACTGCAAAGTGACCGTTGACGGCGATCTCTGTCTCTTCTACTACTAGTAGCTGACAGTATCAGGTAGAAGACAGAGATCGCCGTTTGAAGTGTCATGATCTACAGTATATTGTGCTTCTGCAGCAGCATGTGGACTACCCAAGTATCTTGGCCATTTTTTCATTGGCTATCACTCGTGCAAATCGATGCCGCACTGTCTACGTGCACTTGCCTCGAGGTGAGTGGCTTTCACCGCTTTGTCTTGATCCGGGACACTGAATCGCCGCTGCCGAGTATTTGCGCTTTTGAAATCACCTGTATCTCTATTCCGTCCCACAGGTCAAGCTCCAGAACTGTATAAATACTGGTGAGACGTACCTGTTCTTCAGCGAGACTCGGTGGTCGTAGTAGTGGCTTGTGAGCTCCGTCTTCACTCTGATCTACTCCCTTATTCTCACTGACTGCGTTCTACAGATGAGCTACCTACACTGCCGCCAGCCCGACGCTCAGGGCCATCCATGCTACTGTCCCCTGCATGTTCCACGTCCCAATCGCACTTTGGATCAGCCTGACACATGCCGCGACTGTGGCCACTTTGCGAGTCTACACCCGCCGCATCCGCATCATTCTGATGATGGTATGTGTGTGTGTATTCTACATATGATATGACGGAGGCATTGACACCGTGATGTACGAATATGTGCTGCAGACTCTGACCATGCATCAACTGCGCTCCAAGTGCCCTCTGGTTCTCAGACCACTGATCCGCAGGTATCTACTACGTCGTCTGCAGTGTCTACCTCCTCTGGCTCAGGTGCTGTACCGAACGTTGTCCCGAACGTTATGGCGCTAGTCGAAACACTCAAGAATCGTATGGATGCTGAAGGTGGTACGGTACCAGGGGCCTCAGCTTTGCGTTCAGTGTCGTCATCGTCAAAGTCGTCAAAGTCTGCGCTCGATATTGCACGCTCTGAAACGAACACTGGGTTCCGATCACACTCAACGTCAAAACAAACAAAGTCGAAGGCGAGTCGTGGTTCCAAGGGAAGCAACACACAGTCGGGTGCATCCCAGGTGAAGAAAGGCAAGCGGAAGAGGGTGCACATTCGTGCCCTTGTTTCTTTATGGGCATAGCTAATACCTTGTATGCCATTGACAGAGTCGCAGTCCGTCAACGTCATCCTCTGACCATGCCAAAACCAAGGGGAAAGGGAACGGCCTGAAGGCAAAGGCTGGTGACTCAAAGGAAGTATGTGTACGTCGCTTTGCTATCTTGCCATATGGAGTCGAACTCGTCAGTGTTCAATCATGTCCATACACTTCATGCTTCACTAATATGTCACTGCGTTCTGGTTCTGTTACACTCAGGGAACTACGAGGTTGAACAAGACCGCAGCACCTACAGACGGTCAACTGCTTGAGCTGGAGCGATGCCAGCTTGCTGTTCGTGGGCATGATGGCATCCGTTTTAGCACTGACATGCAGAAGAGCGATCTCAACATGATCCTTTGGAAGTATTTCGAGCGGCCTATGACCTGGATCAAGGACAATTGGGTGCCCTCTGAGGGTGATCCATACGGCGACTATCCGTGGTTCTTGCTCAATAAGACTCGGAACACCCTGAGTGTTGCTGAGTCACCGGGCTATCTCGCAGATGGTCAATCACTCAAAGAACAAGCGAAGGCATACGGACATGACAATACACTTTCCAATATGACAGTGTTGTTTGGTATGTGATGCGTCTGCTTGCCCCTGTCATTGTTGCTGACTAATTCGCATTTCTTCTCTCAGTGTCGCGCATCAGGATTCCGCAGTCAGTCTACTCCACATGGAGCGCTCTTCCGAACGCTCTGCTGTTGTCAGATGCAGAGGATGATCAGACGGACTCGAGCTCAGATATCAATGGTAAGTGTATCAATCACGGCTTACTATGGTGACTTGACATGCAATGTTACTGATTCCCTCCGGCTTCCAGGCTCACCTCAGCCATACCGTCGGTCATTGCGCCTTCAATCCCAGCAGTCAAAGCTTCGGAAGCCAGCGCACAAACGGGCGCGTATAGACTCGGATCCGGATGAGGAGACGGAGGTAGAGGAGGTGGTGGAACAAGTACAGATGTCACTGAAAGCGAAGGGAAAGCAGAAGGCAAACCCCGGTAAGCATCTGCCGCTCACCTTATACTTATTGACTGTTGCTGATCCATTGTTCTTTGTCAGAGAAAGCCTCAGATTCCGAAGATGGAGGTGGTCCCTCGACGCTGAAGCTCACTCGTACCTTGGAAAGCATTGATCTCTCTCGAGATGAAGAGATTGTTGATGCACCGACTACGGGCAACGACACAGGTATGCATATTCACTTGATGTTCTTCTTCCTGGAATGCTCAGTTTCCTCAAGACGGCTCTCCAGTTGCAATCTCAGATGATGACGACGATGACCGTGCGATTGAGAGAGGTCTTCTTGACTTCTTTTCGCGCTCGCGCTCGCGCTCGATGCCTCGTGCTTCACAGTCCCTTCCTACTCCTTCCAACACTGATACTGCTGCACCTTCTTCTTCCAATATGGCCTCATGTTCAGTACTGCTGGCAACTGCTACATCAACGTCGACACTGCCAGTTCCTGATGCTCCATCTCAGGATGTAGGACTCGGAGCTCGTGCAAGGCGCCGAGCGAATCGTCCATCAATTCCAAGACCAAAGAAGAGTCTTTGGTAGAGCATGCACGTACGTACCAGTACCATGTACCTTGGTCATGTACTATCACTTACTAGTACGTGCTTGCCACGTAGTAGTGTCATCGTAGTAGTATGGTTACTAGTTGGAATTGGATGTCATTCTCTGTGATGCAATGCGATGTGATGTCCGTCGTGCACATCTATGCATAACTGCCGTGCCTGACTCGGAGCTACTAGTACACAACCCGAGTTAATAGGTCCAATGCCTGGCACCAGCGCCGTGCACGAACAAGCCAAACCGAATGGGGCATTGCAATGGTGATTATGCGCACCCGCCCAACCTTGAGCTGCCCCTCTGTCGGATATCCATTGTCAGGCCATTCCTCCTCCGAAACCGCCATGTTTGAGGGAATCAAATTCTGTGTGTAGACTTCTTCAAGGGTCTGAAAGAATGCGGTCTCGAATTGTTCAGACGCAAATGGACTTGTGTGCCTCGGGACCTTGATTGCCTCATGGCGTAGGTTGGCACGGTGTTCCTCTGCGAGACGCCGCGCTAGAACCACCCCTGCATCTTCATGCACAAAGCACTCTTCAATACCTTCATAATCCGAGTCTGAAGACTCTGAATCTGGATCTGAGCTCTGATCATCGCCCTCGCCACTGTTGTTGCTCCCTCGTCCCCACACAGCCTCCAAAGAAATGGGATCGTCCTCGTCATCGGACAATGCGCCACTAGCATCTTCTGGTATGTTATCCAAATTACCGTCGTTTTCCTCATCAGGAGGATGACCAGCACCCGTCTGATGTGACTTCCGCACATGGACTGGGCCATGAACTCCATAATGTTCCGCGAGCGTGTCAGGATTGACATTGGCAAAGGTGTCTGTTGGCTCATTATATTTGCCGTTTGTGATGTTTGCAAGCCATCGTACATCCTAATGACATGATTAGTATGATCTATATAATCCATCCACAATGCGCACTTACACGAGGTGTTTGGCCCTGCATATGTGGGCCAGAGGCACCATGATGGTTCCACGTGTGGCGGAACAGATCACAGTCTTCCTGTATGTCATCCAAGAACAGACAATGCAGAAGCCAAAGGTGGTGAGGGTTCTTCCGGTCAAGGCCATGGAGTTCCTCTAGGCGCAGAAAGAATACACGCCAATGGCGTGCGAAGTTGGTCCCAATGTCAACCCATCGACGCTCAATCCGCTGATTGGTTGTTGACCTGGTTATAAATCAATTACTGAGCCATTGAAGACCATCCAGTGGAACATGAATACCACGCACGATCCCCATAAGAATGATCCACGATTTGGCCCTCGACGCATAACCATGTATGCAGAGACAAGGATGTTGTAACGGATATTCCCGTTACGGTATGTCTTACATTAAATGTTTGTCTTTGTTTGCTCGAGGACTCGTATGGCGCGCCAGTGCACCTACAAGTCCTCAGCCTTTACCTCGTCACCGCTTTGTATGCACTCTGTAGACAGATCTCCTTGAATAGAGACTGGGTGCAGCGCATACGAGGCACGACGAGTGAGGCGCCATTACACTTTTTTGCGCTCCAGACAAGCTTCTACTCTGGGGATCTATTCTAGGCAACAACCTCAAAAACTCGACTTCGATATCTACCTACTCGACGTCAACAACTCTATGCTACTCTGATCATCCTCTGGCCAACTCGACAACTCGACAAGATGTCCGAGTCGACCAACACCCCGTCTGCACCTTCCCGAGGCAGCCGCGGGTCCCACAGTGGAACCCGCAGCAAGCTGAAGGCGTTGCGCGCGGAAGTCCGAGCGAAGCTCGCCGCAAGTCAAGAGCGGATCAACAAGGCTCTCGAGGAGTCCAAGCAACTCGAGGCCGAACTGCTGGCAACAGTCGACGCCGCGTTGTCCGAGGCCAGCAGCCGCAGTCGGTCTTCTCGCACGAAGACCACCCGGACTGAGTCCTCTCACCGCGAGGACTCAGCCGGAGCCCTCACAGAGCAGGCGCCGTCCGACCGTGAGGTCGAACAGGCACTGCACACTGAGCAGCTCGAGCCCAATGTCGAGCCCGCTCAGAGCCGCACGGAGACCGACCCTCCACCTGCTACCACCCTGCCGATGAAGATCGGCACCACTCGGAGGAGTGGTGAGTGCACCGAGCTCGACGACGTAACCGTAGTCGAGCTCGCGCCCGGGTCGAACGAGCAGTGCAATGAGCTGACTCGTATCAGCACCCGGGAGGGCATAGGCACACAGTACTACAGTAGTACTGTGTGCAGTGGGACCAAGCCCACGCGTGTAGACACGCCCGTCGCGCGCTCAGAGATGAGCCGTGACGCAGAAAATATATATTTGTTGTCGAACGACGTGAGCGCCACGCCGAGCAGATTGCTCGACGCGACGCACGACACGCTCGACCCTGCGGGCGTCGAGCGCCACGAGACCGTGCCAGTGGTGAGCGCCCCGAGCGTTAGCGCCCACCGCACTGCGCTCGACCGCCACCACCGACCCCTCGTCTTCGACCATTTCCACTCCCTGGGCAGCCAACTCGAGCGCCCGTCTGGCGAACCAGACGCGCGCGCGGCCCCAACGCGAGTGCGAACTCGCGTTCGCGAATGGCTGGCTGACTTACCGCCAGTCCAGTCAGTGGCGACCGACGACCTGGTACCTCACGGTACCAGACCGCCAATTCCTCCCTCCCCGGCTCCTCACCTCACCCCTCTCGACTCGCGCCTTGACTCTGGCAACCAATACCGCGGCTCTGGCGACACGCAACCCAGCCGCGCGACCCAGGACTTGAACACCGCGCGTTCAAGCCCAGCGCCGAGCTGCAAGACCGAGCGGACCACGAGGAACGCGGATCGTGGAGGCGACGAGGAAATCCCGAAGGAACGAGAAGGGTGCGAGGAAGGCACGAAGGGAGAGAGGGAGGAAGGGTGCGGGGCGAGCAGGGAAAGCGAGCAGGAAGGCTCGCAAATCGAAGGTACGCCCATGCTGGACGTACCCACCTCGCCTCCGCCTGTGCCAGTACCCCCGCCAGCGTACGCATCGACGAACACGGAGTTCGTCGAGCGTACCGCTGGTCACGGAACCAGGTACGACTGCGAAGTCGTATCTTCCTCTCCGCAAAATAGCACGTTTGTGCTGCGGTACGACCTCCAGGTCGTACCTGAACCTTTCACATTGCAAAGCGACACGGCGGACGCGCAATACCGCACGTCCGACGTGTCCCATTGTTCCGCAACCGGATGTCGAGTAACGGGTACGCCCCAGATGGACGTACCCGCCTCGATACCTCACTTCTCGCCCGTGTCCGCACCAGCAAGCATAGCGACGAACATGAAGTTCGCCGTATGCGTTGCTGGTCAGGAAGACGGCAGGCTCGCCCTGCAGGACGACCTAACAGTCGTACCCTCCACTCTGCAAGATGGCACGATTGCGCCCTGGGACGACCTCGCGGTCGTACCATACACTCAGCAAGGCGACACGACGGACGCGCAGTATCGCACGTCCGACGTGCCCCACCATTCCGCGACTGGATATCGAGTAGCGGATACGCCTCAGGCGGACATATCCACCTCGACGCCTATCCCCTTGTGTGCACCTGTATCAACAAGCGTAGCGACTAACGAGGAGTTCGTCGTACGCGTGGCTGGCCAAGGGGACGGCAGATCTGTGCCGCAGGACGACCTACCGGTCGTGCCTGCCGATCTGCAAGGCCACACGCCTGCGTTGCGGGACGACCTCGCGGTCGTACCGCCCATCTCGCAAAGCGACACGGCGGACGCGCAGCAGTGCACGTCCGACGGGCCCCATTCACCCATCACTGACCGATGGATAGCGAGTACGCCGAGATTGATGCTCGACGTACACGCTACCGACCAGCACGAAGGGTCGAGAACTGAAGGTACGCCCCTGATGGACGTATCCATCTCGACACCTCCTACCTTCCCCGCATCCGCGCCAACAAGCGTAGCGACGGACGTGAAGTCCGTCGTGCGCGTTGTCGGCCATGAAGACGGCGCGTCCGCGCTACGGGACGACCTCATGGTCGTACCCAGACCGTTCTCTCTGCAAAGCGACACGGCGGACATGCAATACTGCATGTCTGACGTATCCATTCCCTCGTCTGCCCGCTGCGCAGCGAGTGCGTCTAGCCATGAGCTTGACGTAGACGGGGCCAAGGACTGCGTGTCTCCGAACGTTCCGGACCTCTCGTCCGGCAGCTACATCGCTCGACCAACCGCGACACCACACGGCCTGCACATCCTCACGGAAGTGCAGGCCCCCAGCTGCTCCGATATAGCTGAACCTCCTGAGGTTCAGCTGGCCAGGTCGTGGGACGACCTCGACGACACCTCCAGCAGCCCCCGATCGCGCGCGGCCGACTTCCGAGAAGACGTGCACTCCCAACCGGAAGTGCAAGCCCCCGGTAGTCCCAAGACAGCTGAACATCTCGCGGTTCAACTGACAGGCCCGCGATACGACCTCGACCGACTCGACGAAACGGTGGACCTCGGTCTTGGTTTTTCAGCGACCACCACTATCCCCGCGACACGGACGGCCCCACGATCGCGCAGCTCGACAGTCGTGTAGTCTCGAGCGACGCGCGAGCTCGAGATCGCGACCCGACTGCTGCACTACCAACAGTGCGGCGGCCGGCGCTTACGGACCCCGACAGACCAGAACGGCACCCCGACCGTCAACCCGACGAGAACTTCACAGTTCTCGTCGAGGGCTCGCTCCTAGGGACCCCTACCCAACTCCCCATCGACTCCTTCGCGGCTCCCGACATCGGTGGCGACTACGAGAGGCACCACGAGTCGGAGGTCGCGCGCGCACTCCGGAGATCGAGTGCAGGACGGATGGCGGATCAGGCCGGGGACGAGGGGGACGTGGATGAGAGTGCAGAGACAGAGGAGTCAGATGAGGAGGGTCTGGCAGAAGGAGGAGGGGAGGAAGGGTGCGGTGTAGGCGAAGGAGACGAACCTGCGAGCTCGAAAGACAGAGGTACGTCCATGCCGGATGTACCTCCCCCGCCTCTACCACCATCTCCTACACCGCCACCACCAATCGTGACGACTACGACAACCAATGCGGTTGTCGTGACAGCAACCACGCAGGTCGACGGTACGATCGACCCACGGGGCGATCTACAGGTCGCAACCGGCACGGTCACGCAACGCGTCCACACACAGACGTCGGGACTCTCGCTCGACGCCTCCGTCGAAGAGTTCGGTGGCGAATCGAACAGCGAGTACCTCACGGTACTCGCATCGCCGTCACCACCCCCATTTCTGTACCACTACCAGGGTACGTCGCGACTACCCACTCAGTAGTCGCGACCGACGGTGGTACGTTACTCGTACAGGAGGACACCGTCGTGTCTACCATCAAGCACAGCGACGCGTCCGGAGTGCACACAGGCACTACTGGCGCGTCCCATCTCTCCGCGGCGGGCGTAGCACCGACGTCAAGCACCGAGCTTGAGGGTGCCACACAAGGGTGCGACCTTGCTACCGCCCACGGCGAGTACCTCACGGTACTCGCCAGCTCATCTCCTATTGTTGCAGCGTCACCGCCGCGTCACACTGCAACAGACCTCGATGACGATACGGACAAGCTCAATCTGGCGAATCGCGGCCAGTCAGCCGGTACGTCTACGAGTGTAGACGTACGACAGACTGCACACGAGTCTGAATGGCGACCGTCGGGACGCTACGTGCTGCCGGCACGTCGCGTTCAGCAAGACCGACGTGAGCTGGCCGTGGTCTTCGACGGCGAGCACCAGCCCAAGTACTGCAAAGTACTTGGTGCGTCCAGCAAACGAGACCGGGAGCTACCGCCGAGCACATCCAAGATGGATGTGCTGCCTTATTCCCCGGACCCAGCGCAGTCAAACGAAGGGACGGGGACTGACGAGGTCTCGGTAGTCCCAGGGCAAGGGAACCTTGGCGAGGACGAATCATCGTCGTCGCGGGTACAATTACCTGGACCATATGGTGTGGCAGCACATCCAGGTTACCGGGTGATGCACCCGCATCGAATGACGCGACGACCAGGGCGTCGTCGCGCGCCCATAAGAAGGAACATCCACCGCGAGGGCTGGATTCATCGGACTCAGGTGAACGGCGATGTTCAACGACTACTGATGGTATCGAGACCGAGCCGGCGCGAGCGCAAGGAGGAGATATCTCCTCTACGAGAGGGGGTACTCTCTTGAGAGGGGAAGGGAGCGGGGCCTCGAACGGCCGCCGCTCGTTCCACAACACAACCAGTACATCACACGAAGATGTACTGGCCTCGGACCCGGCAGCGACACGGACGCCAAGCCGTGAGCTTGACGTACGGGCCACCCACGGGAACTCGACGCGAATACCAGCTACTCGCACATCGAGTAGTCGGCGCAATGTGCAGGATACGGCGCGAGTGGCCAGTACATCATACAATGGTGTATTGGGACCAGATGTAGTCTCGGGCCATACGTCCAGCGAAGTGATCGACGTACGAGCTTCACGTCGGACATCGAGACGTGTACCACCTGTACCACGCGCATCGAGTGATCAACTCGAAATGCAGGATACGGGTGACCGTCGCAGCCACGACATCACTCGGGAAGCCAGTACCTCGCGCCGCGAAGTACTGGGACTGAACCGAGTGTCGACCGCACTGGATCGTTCAGTAACCGTTGATGTGAGTCGATGGCCGAGTGACAAGAGGTCGCGCGAGGAATGCTTCAGCCTCCTTGCAGACCAACTTGACCACGACTTCGACGAGGCCGATGTTGCGGCGAGTGTTGGCGAGTGGGACATCTGGGCTCACTGCAAGAGGTCAGCACTTAGCTGTGGGCATGCCATCGAGGAGATGTCCCCGCGACCGGGGACATATTCTCGTGCAGCTCGTCGAGCCTGGGACCACTTCCAGAGGGAGTTGGAAGTGGTTCCACTCGAGTTCGATCCTCGGCTTGTTGCACCACTTCCTATGGAGATGGTGCGACATTGGGCCTACAACAAGCTGGGATGGCTTGTTGTACCACCTCATCAACAACCAGTGGATGAGTCCGACTGGTACAACTCCTCTGATGAGGAGCCTCGTACCATGACTCGTGAGGAGTACCCTGACCATGTTGAGTCGAGTATTCCTCCGAGTCCGAGCATCTTAGCTCGTGGGATCACGAAGATCTGGGTCTGAGGAGACCAACTCAGTAGTAGTCTCTGACTACTATGAGCAGTATGAGATGGAGGATACCCTCAGCTCTTCTGCACTATCTGCCGAAGATGAGGGTAACTCTGAAGATGCTGACTACTACTCCGAGTCCGAGTAGTAGTTTACCTTATGGCCTGCATAACCTTGTCGAGTTATGTACGACAATGATGAATGGTTGTGTCTGCTCACTGACGCGATCTAACATGTCGTTGTCTACAGTTCAACATCATCTTTGTTTGCCAATTGCTACCACCGTGGGTTGTTGCATATGTCTCCTTTCATTTTCCTTTTTCTATCTGTTTCTCTGGTTATTGCTGGGACCCGTGGTCGTGTCCAGTGGGGGAGGGTGTAACGGATATTCCCGTTACGGTATGTCTTACATTAAATGTTTGTCTTTGTTTGCTCGAGGACTCGTATGGCGCGCCAGTGCACCTACAAGTCCTCAGCCTTTACCTCGTCACCGCTTTGTATGCACTCTGTAGACAGATCTCCTTGAATAGAGACTGGGTGCAGCGCATACGAGGCACGACGAGTGAGGCGCCATTACAGATGTTCTCTCCACCGCGATCACCACGGGTCCGCCAAGGGGTCCCGTACTCATTCTCCGCCATTCGAAAAGCATTCAACACAGTGGTTGGCCGGTTGTTGGTATTGACACGCAGTCCTACAACCTGTCCAAATTATCAATCAGATTTATTATGGATGAACAGATAGTCAGACAACAATGATATCATGTTAGATATCATATGTAGTAGACTGTAGGACTTACCTCCGCCTCATAACCATCCACAATGCCATGAAGGACAAATCCCCAAGGCATCAGTTTATGATGGCCATCAATGTGCCATAGATGGCCAGGCCGTGGGACAGAATAGGTGCGCTGGTGTACAGCGACATTCCGACGCAGCATCTGTCCAACCCCGTCAACGCGATCGAGAGAAGCTGTAAGCCGAGCTCTGGACATGCGAATACTGTTTGCTGTGAAGAATCCTTGCACAATGCGACGGCCTGCATTAGGGTTTTCAACCTTGTAGCTGCGCACAAGGAGATCAAGCTCCTCGTCAGTCAAGGGTGCATACGTCCGAATGATGCCGTATTTCTTCATGTAACGGAGGACAGTACTTCGGCCAACTCCAAGCACATTTGCGACACGTTGGACGGAGATGCGCCGATATGGAGCAAAGGTCTCAATTAACCAGGCTTTGTTGATAACCTTTTGGGGTCGCCCACGTCGTCCTGTATGGACCACCGACACAGGATGAGAGATCGTATAACTCAACTCTTCCCTGAGATTCCTGGGTAAGTGCATTTTGACACGTAGTTAAGTGGTATGTGGGCGTACCGTCCAGCCCTTGCATTTGCTGCTTTTTCTAGCATAGACAAGAGTTGTGCGAATTTCAGCGCGCACTCCACTGTCCATTCCGGAAGCTGAACAGCCTGGGACACATGCTCGAGGAGAGGGAGTGTCTTGTTCTTGATATATTCGATATGATGCTGAAGACGCAGATGGTCACTGTCATCAAGGGCAGCAACACGGAGACTGTCGTTGTACGCTGTTGCAATGATTGTATGCGCTTCCTCAATGTTCAATGGTAATGCTTGACCTGTGGTCCGAGGAAGCGGTGGAAACTCCATCTCCAAACTTGATGCTAGATGCAGAATATGCAACTGAAGTTCAACACAGTGCATACATCACACAGGTCATAGAATATTAACTAACCTGAATGGCTGGAGATGGCGATGTGATGACCACAACTGTCGATAACAGACAGTACACAGAATATGCTCTTATACTACGTCTCTGGTAATATTGGTCACAGTGAGCCAGTCAGCAAGAGTAGCATTGAGTACAATAGTGCATATGGACTAACCACTGCAGTTTTGAAGTACAGACACAATACAGATCGCAAGCTAGAATTGATGTGGCGTGCGTTTGCAGTGTTTGCTTACATAACAGAGCGCCCAGTAAGATCGTAATCTGGAGAACTCGGTGGCATCGCATTCCCTTGTCGAACAAAACTGTCCAACAACTTGTCACTCCTTTTCACTATTTCATTGCCTTTCCTTTTTTGCTACATCTACCCGGTCAAAGGTGGTCAAAGGTGTCATGTCATCAACCAAACTAGCATTCAGACACCCCAATATCCTCACATATGCACCCTGGAAGCCGTTAGAGGTGACACATTCACCGCTTCATTACTACAAGGATGGCACGTTCGAATGTCAGGTACAACATGTGCTCCATTCTCTATGAATTGATACTTACACTTTAGTGCAGGTCGGCTCGTGCCTCTACAATATCTACCCCACCCTTATTGCATCCCGAGCTGGCGTATTCCGGGACATGTTCCAGTGCGATCCAGGACAAGATAGTATACCGGAGGGAACCAAGGGCCATCCTGTATATTTCATTGGAATAGATCAAAGGGATTGGGATCCATGGATGGGGTGGTTGTTTGGCCGTGGGTGCGTAGATTCACTGGCAATAGCCTCTAGATTGGCCTACCTGACTCCGATGTGTATTAAATGCTGTCTTCTCACCTAGACCCAAAGACGGTGAACCATGGACTGTCGACGAGCTTGTGTCTATTGCAAGGATGTCCCATCTCTTTGATGCACCGGAAGGCCTGCGTATGGCGAGGCAAGAATTATCTGTTCACGACTTCACCGATGGATGGACGCTCTTCCGCAAGCTCGCCCTCGCCGACACACTCAACTTCACATTTTGGTTCAATACTGCCTTCCGCGCCATCATTCATATGCAAGACAGCGATCACTATATTCAATCCAGCGATGCCGCTGCGCTTGGTCTCCCTCTATTCCTTCGGATTTATACGGTTCGCCAGGAAATTGAACTGCATCGCAAGGCCCTTGCGTGCCAGCTCCCCACATTCCTCATTAGCCCTGCCTGCAATACGGAAGATATCTGCAAAGATGCGTGGGCTAGTGCATGGTTTGAATACTTTGCACTCCGTCTTGTACACCCTGACGAGCCTGTCTGTGACCGGGACATCCTGATCGAGATGGAGTCTCACTCAAACTGGCCGGATCTGTGCGAGTTCTGTCACATCGATAACGTGCGGGACCTCAGGTCAATGTACCCAAACCCTTTCGATGGGGAAGAGTGTATCATCCGGCGTGCACTTGGTGAACCAGAGGACGATGCCATCATGATTGATGACGAGTAGATTATGGCAAGTTGCGTTGTCTCAACTGTATTGCATATATGACTAAGCTCGCATTCCCTCAGGTATCTGAGTCTGTCCATGACTCGGACTCGGACGTGCACTTGGATTTGGATTTTGGACTTTTGCACGGACTCATCTCGTTGACGGACTCATTCTTGGTATCGAAGCAGTCCTTACTCCGCATCCTACCCTATCCTAATTAATCAGTATACTCAGCGTCATAAATTAGTGGTTTATTTAATGCATCTTGAGCATTATAAGGATGCGTGCATCCAACACGGTGTTGCGTACAGTACCGGTACCGCCAGTCCCATGGCGGTGTTGCCAAAAGAGGCAACCCCGCGAGCGCCCAAACTCGCGGGGATGCCTCTGGAGTCTCCTCCCACCAGGTCGACTCGCGCACGCCCACAGTCTCAGCCTCAGCAACACGACGCACACGCGCGCGGTGAGCAGCCGCAAAGACCGTGCGTGCGAACGCAGCCGACGAAGCCACCGCGACGTGGCGAGCCCCAGCACAGCGACGGATGGCAGGCATGGACGACGAGTGGACGGCGGGCAGGGGTGGGCGACTGGCGGGGACGGGCGGGGGCGAGGGCGAGGTTCTGCAGGTGAGTGCAGGCACCCGCGAGCAAACTCACTAACAGCAGGCACAGGAGGCGGTGGCGTGCAGCGCGCCGCGCACGACGACCGCGAGCACGCAGGGCCAATGCCCTGCGTGTAGGCACGGCCGACGAATGGTCGACAAGCGGACGAGGGGACGGCAGCACACACCGGCCGCGAGCGCGCTGGGCAACTGCCCAGCACGCAACCGCCGCCGACGAACGCGCAGAACGAGTGAGCAGGCGAGCGAACGGGCGCACGGTGGACGGACGGGCGAGTGGATGACGGGACAGGTGGGTGGACTAACGAACGGGTGCACGAGCGAGCGGGCAGGGGGACGGCAGGCGACCAGACAGACGACCGGACGAGAGCATGACCAACGAGAGGTCGGACGAGCAACCGGCCCTCGCTGATGGGAGGGCCGGAAAGCAGTACAACAGGCGAGTAGGCGCGAGCGGGTGAGCAAGCCGGGACATCAACATGCGACGAGATGCACGGTGTGGGGAAGCCCCACAGAGCAGGCCCGGAACCAACGGATATAGGGCACACGACCACAGGAGACAACAGACGACGTTACACACGGAAGGAATGTCGAAGGATAGGTTACCCAGGCAGCACGACCGGAAAGCAACTCGGTAGGGCAACCGGAGGCAGCCGTGGACGGCACCGGAGGGTACAGGAACGAACTACCCCTCACGCACACTCTCCCCCTCATCCATTAAATCAGTCTCGGTCTCAGTTTCGACACCCGCATCCTCGAAGTCGTCACTAGTACGCGCCGGAGGGAACTGAAGGCGACGCGGAATGCCGGAATAGTCAGCGTCCGGAACGTACACGCCACGTGAAAGACGATCATGCACGCCGGCAACACTGGACGCCAGGGCGGAGAGAATACGGCGGGTGTGTTGGGCCTCGGACTGAAAGGAGGCGGATGCGTCACGTTGAACGGTAGCGTAACGCTGGAGCTGGGAGATGAGCGCGTCGAGGCCGTCGGAGGAAGCCCGGAGGGGGGAGAGCTGCATGGGCCTCTCGAGGTACCGGACCGGGAGCAACGGACGGCCCACTTCGACATCGGACTGCTCAACAGCGACGCGGTTGGCGGACCAGGCGATAGCAGGGTACGGCTCGCCAATGACGCTATGCTCGGACGCGATGGTCGAGAACACCTGGTCAAGGTAGTCGATCAGTTCCTGGACGTCGGAGAACCGGCGGATGAGAGGGAGGGACGCGTCGCCATGCGCGGTAGCTCGCGCCCGGGAGTCGAAGAGCATGCGCTACGTACCGGAAGGAGGATCAGCCCGCCGGACGGGGAATAGACGAGAAGAATATCACCCACGATGATCCAGCGGGCGCCGTGGGCCCAGGCCAACCATTCGGTAGGACTGTCAGCGACAAGACGCGGCTCGACGACTCGTTCATCCCGGAGGAGAGCGAGAAGACGGTAGAAGCGAGTGGAGTAGACGATGGCGGAGGGATTGGGTGGGGCATCGGACGGCATGGCACTGGACGGGAGACGGTAAAGGAAGGGAAGGAGGGGGCTTAAGAGGGACCGGAGGGAACGGGTGAGTACGGAGAAGGGTGCCAGCGAGGCGGGGGCGTGGGATAGCGAGCCGGAGGGGACATAAGGGAGGGAGCCGGGGACCGGACGGGGGGAGATCCTACCGACCTACCACCTAGGAGTAGAGAGCGAGCTCAACGGCGATTCCCTGCGTTTCTGACTGCGTCCTGCGTTTACTGCGTTTACTGCGTTGCGAATAGATCACTGCGTTCACCTTCAACGAGCACCGCGTTTCCTTCCGGCTCTCTGCGTTTTATCCGGCTTCAACGAGTTTCTACGCGTTCACTCTGAGTCCCTGCGTTGTGGGACGACTCCACCACTCTCCTCCGACCGCGTTACAGTGTCCCCTGCGAGTATCCGAGCTCGTACGTCCCCTCCGGGCCCGAATCGTCACATCCCCTCCCCATCCGCTTGCCAACAGCCCCCGCCCGTCGTTTCTACCGACACCATCGATTCCTTCCGGTCTCTTTTCGACCCGGGAGACTCGCAACCTACACAACTGGAGCCCACCGCGAGGGGGTATAGCTTGTTGGTAAAACTCATCGACACCCTCTGGTGACTCGTCACGCTGCCTCCCAGGCAACCGCGTAACAACGACCAGCCGTCGATCCCTACAAGGCAGCAGCCGCCGCGCGGACCAAAGCGAAACCTCTTACAGGAGGTCGCCGTTGCACAGTACTCTCCGGACACACCGTTCAACGTCACCCTGCCCGCGCCAGCGTTAGAAGCCATACCCCCGCACCGTTCCGAAGACAGCGACGGAGAGTATTCATTCTTCGAGGCCGTAGAAGCACCCCGTTCCCCTGCCACGTCATCATCGAGCGACTCGATCCCGCTAGCCGTCACCACCCGGAGGAGAGCCCTATCGCTTCCCTCCGACAGCAAGTCAACGGCGCCCGTCGTTAAGCTCGAGCAGACCCCCATTCCGATACCCGAATCTCGTGCCCCGTCATCATCTACCCTCTCCTCATCAGACCTTCCTCCGCGTCCCACCGAAACAATGGCCGCACCACCAGTACGTTCCATGCCCGTCCGTGGCGATCGCGCTGCTCCGACCTTTGACGGTCAACCTCGTTCCCTCCGACGCTACTTTGACGACCTCGCTGAACTCTTTGCCATCGCTAGCGTCGAGGACGACGCCCGGAAGGTATACTACGCGAAGCGCTACCTCAAGCCGGACCAGTCCGAGCTATGGGACGAGGTCGAGGTACCTACGCCGGCGTCGTTCGACGAATACAAGAAGAGCATCATGGCCCTGTACCCCGGGTCGGATGGTACGTCCCGTTACCTGGTCAGCGACCTTGAGGCCGCGTCGGCCACGGCAAGGGCGGAGGGCACCGCTACGCGTTCCAGCGAAGCGGAGTACTACCGCAAGTTCCTTCCGGTGGCCAAGTACCTGAAGAAGAATGGCCGCGTATCCGATTCGCAGGTCTTCAAGGTCTACATGGCTGGATTCACGGACGCGTCCGCTGAGGCCATCCGCCGTCGCGTCGAGATACGTAACCCGACCGTCGATCCGGTGGACGGATACACCCTGGAGCAGGTGCACGATGCCGCGCAGCAGTGTCTTGACGCGGTCAGCTACGGAGGGGCCGCCGGAGCGAGCAGTACAGGTGGGGGGAGTCCCGGAGGAAGCGGTACGGACGGAGTAAAGACCGAGTCCGTCGACGAAGCTATGCTGGGGCGTGTGTTTGCTGCAGCTATGAGTATGATGAAGGGCGGAGGAGGAGGATACGGAGGAGGGGCGCCGGCTGCCGGAGGCCGAGGATATGGAGGACCGCCGCCAGCACAGACGACCGGAGGATACGGTCAGACCGGGACCGGAGGGTACGACTATAGCCAGGGAGGCGGACGCGGAGGGGGATACGACCGTGGTGGAGCGAGCTATGCACCCAGCTCGGACCAGTGCAACTTCTGCGGCGAGCACGGTCATTATATGAGGACTTGCCAGCACCGTCGCCGGTACGTCGAGATGGGCAGAATCTACATGGACGGAGAGAACCGCGTGCGTTTGCCAAACGGGTCGTACGTCCCGAGGAACCTTGCGGGTCAGTGGATGATGCACCGCGTCGACACCTGGTGGTCGTTGAACGAGAACAACGTGTCTTCCTCCGGGGCCACGGACGGAACGACGAGGGACGCGCCGCCCCACCTGTCTGCCAACATCGTGGAGATATCGTCAGAGTACAGTTACGAGCAAGCGGCGGAACAGCGAGACGCGTATACGGAGGAACGGGCCCGCGAGCTCGAAGAAAAAGCTCAAGTATTGGCAGCGGAGGCAGCACGCGTACGCGGAGGAGCGAAGAAGGTCAGATTCGAGGAGGAACGCGGAGGGAAAAGTACGGCCAGCGGGCTGAAGGGTGCGAGCGGCAAGCCTCCGGGCATCCCCGCGAAGAGCATCCCCGTCGACGGAGGGAAGACTGGCGCCGCGAAGGATGCCGGAAAGGGACCCGGAGCGAAGGACGGAGGGAAGCCGCGTGCGAGCGAGCCGCAGTACCGCTACTCGACGAAGATTAACGGCAGTAAGGATCCGGTGGAGAAGGCGGAGGAGCTCGTGAAGCGTATGTTCTACGGGGGAGAGCGGGCGGCATGGGGAGAGATTGCCGAAGTCAGCCAGGAGTTTCGCCGCGCAACGGTGGACCAGTGCAAGGCGCAGCGCGTCCCGGTCGCCAATAGCCTTGAGGAGGCGGACGAGAGTTTCCTTGTCGACAGGGAAGTGTTCCTCGGCGGGGAGCGGGAGCTGCCGAACGTCGGAAGCTGGGACTCGCTGAGCCTGCGGGTGGTACGTCCTACCGTGAATGGGGAGGCCGACGTCGAGGGAGTCCTGGACTCCGGGTGCCAG